TTTAAAACTGCTTAAACACCAGGTGGAGGAAAAACTGCAGCTTGAAACCAGAAGTTTACATCTACTGTATATAGACATAAAACCTTTTTTTTCTAACAATCTGACATTAAATCAGACTAAACTTTTCCTGTTTTAGGTCGGTTATGATTACCAAAATTATTTCTATTTGTTAAATGGCAGAATAATGAGAGAGAGAATTTTTTTATTTTATTTTTGCATTTTGTTGACTTAATAATCTACTACTAGACATCACAGTGCAGTTAAGTTGGATTTTAAAACTGTTTAAACACCAGGTGGAGGAAAAACTGCAGCTTGAAACCAGAAGTTTACATCCACTAAGACGCCTTCAAACTATTTGGGGAAGCCCAGATTATGATGATGTCATGGCTTTGGAAGCTTCTGATTGGTTCATTAGCAACATTTGAGTTACATCTGATTTACCGTAACCTCTGGACTATGAGCGCACCAGAATATAGGCCACACCCACTAACTGTAAAAAGAAAATCAGTTGTGTTCATAAACAGGCCGCGCTAGTCTACAAGCTGCAGGTTGTAACACGAGATATTTACACAGAAGGATTTGTTTAACTTTTAATTAAATACGTAGCGGTAGCATACACAAATAAATGCTTGTTTCCGAGCAGTTCCTGTAACAGAAAATAAAAACTCCAGCAGCCTGCCAGAAAAAGTCACTGATCGCTATCTTCATCTTCCTCCTGCACTAAAACCACTAAAGTCGTCTTCTTCAGCGTCTTCAGGAGTTGAACAGCCTCAGAACTACTCTCAACGTCACTCGAGGCGAATTCGTAAAAATCGTAAAAACCGGTAAATTAGCCGCATCACTGTTTAAGCTGCAGAGTTCAAAGCATGTGAAAAAAGTAGTGGCTTATGGTGCGGACATTACGGTAATGTCAGATGCTGAGAAAGAAAAGGTTTTATTTCTTTTTATACCGTGTATGTAAAGTTCTGGTTTCCACTGGTTCTTGACTGTAGTCCAACGTTGACATGACGACACGAATGATTGACACGGAGACGATCGATGGAACATAAAGATCCATCCTCGCTATATGAGAGAAATGAAATGTCATTTTCTTTTTATTGCTGCTCGGTGACATTTTTCCGGAGCGTCTTCGAGTCGCTGCTGCGTCTGGATGTGTTTTGTTCGGAGGATCTCAGCCGCTGAGGTTCCACCAACGTTCTGCAGCGATCCGTCATCGAGCTTCTCTTTCAGTGAATGAACTCATCACCCAACATGTTCCTCACAAACACCCCGGATTTGCAGGATCGTGTGCAAACCCACATTTAGTCTGCCTGTGACGCTGTGATTACCCCGAAGCAGGAAGACGTTACACCTTCGTTCATTTCAGCTTTTTTCCCGGTCTTGACAGTAATCCGAGCTATCAGGACGATTTCGCTCTCAGCGGTGCCGAGCCATTCTTATGGGTAAAATAGCTTCACTCTGGCAGGAAAATGTCCTTTTAATTCAGCTCTAAGGGGAGGTCAGCGGAGGGCCGAAGCCTGGTCGGGCCTTTGATGCTCCAAAATACTCGCCCCGCTGCCGTCATGATCCTTGGAGCCGATGCTGGTGTTGTGTGTTTTTAAAGCGATGTGAGTGATCGTGGTCTGAGATACTGCTAATGAGATCACCGAGCTGCGCTTTCAATCCAAATCCGCCGTTGACTTATTGCAGATAATTACACTCCATTGAACTCGGTGGGTTTTGTGGTTCATTTAAACTTTTTTTTTTTGTTTTGTGCTCCCTAATGAAAGTCTACCTCACGAGCTCCAGCATCAGCCTCACTGCAGGAAATAACTTTGGTCAACCACGACTTTCTTGAAAAAAAAAGAAAGAAAAGAAAGAAAAAGAAGAAAGAAAAAGCGCAAATCCGTCCACAATGAAGGCTGTTGGTAATGTACCGGAAACCCAGTGTCTCCACTAAATGTGCTCATGGCGTCTGTCCACATGACTCCCAAACGTCTTTCTATCCTTTGCTACCAAATGTTTGAAACTCAACAAATGAAGATATTCACATACGGGACAGGACAAGTTTAGAAACAAACTCGCAGTCAAATAACCAAACGCTGCAAATAGAGGAGCTGAGCTGAACATACTGCCGGTCTTCAGCCGTCGTGGTCGAACGCTCTCTTGACAGAGCAGCCTAAATGCAGTTCTCTCAATATTGGTCTTATATTCTTGCAGAGGGCTGCAGTTTAAGTCATCAAGCCGCAGTTTGCGAAGACAAATAGAAACTTGTGGTTCATTCAAGTGGAGTTTGTATTCTAGCGAGCGGCGATGAAAACACACATATTTATACGGCGTGTATTTTTCTAATTTTCGCTTCTGGCTCGCGCTCAAAAGCGTTCGACAAAAAGAATCCTGTGTTGTGAATGAAATGCAGTAAATAAGAATGTCCATGTTTCTCTCCTGTGAGACTCGTGTTTGCTTTGGAGGTTTGGACTCCGGCCAGTGGAGGGGGAATAGTTTTCAGAAATAATCAGGGGGCACACTTATTACCCAGGATCCTCCTCTTGAAACGGTAAACGATACTCCTCGACGTCCCTGCGAGCGGGAGTCTGCAGATGAAGGAGACATTCCTCTTATTTTTTCGGAGAAAGAAAACAAACCCTGAAACTCCATGCCTCATTTTAGTTTAATGTTTCAGTGCAGCTCGAGCCGTGGCGTTCAGGTTAAGACGTCTGGTCCTGATGTGCGGCGGCGCTCTCGCTCTCCAAGTTTCTAGAAAGAACCGAAAACAAGAACAGCTGAGTGATGCACAGCCTGTGATTTCAGAGCAATAAACTGGTTTCAAACTGAAGGAGAGAACAGCTTCAGACACTTTTCTTTTCTCGTTTCCTCTCACCTCAAGTAGCACCAGCCGGTTATTTAGATGAAACTAGTGTGAACGTCTCAGGAGCTGTCAGTGGAATATTCTATATTGGCATAGTTAGCACAGCAAACAGGTAGTATCTATCCTTGTTCGCCTGCGGTCCAATGTTGTTCCATCTGTGGTTGTTTGCTGTGCAAAGCCGTAAATGTCTTCATTCTGTGAGCCTATTCAGCTCCCAGACTGGACATCGTTATTTCAGGCCTGAAAGCAGTGAAAATATTGATGGATTGAGGTATTGTGGGTTTGTATGCAGCGAACCCACAACGGCTCGCTGTTTACGGTTTAAATTTAAGCTCACGAGAGAGTCCGAGACAATGTGCGCACGTCTTCGCCCGCCGAGCGCCTCGTTTTAGACCTTAGTTAGTTAGTTAGCTGCTCGTTTGGGATCACAAACAGAAAAGTCTGGAAAATATCAAAAGGTTGTTTTCTGGTCGTCTGTAGACGCTGCAACACGTCGACCACAGACACAGCAGGGAGCATAAAGGACTTTATTTCCATATTCTGCTGCTGTGTTTGTACTTCACAGGATAATATGTAGTTTTTACTCCGGCTATAGAAAACGTCTAATTAACTGGAAATGGATTAAACTTGCTGCAGTGTTAAAACAGAACAAATTTACACTTTAACATGTTCCTCACTCATGCAACATGAATAATAATCCCACAAGAACTTCAACAGGTACCACTCAGGGTGGTTCCTGCTGATATTTGAGAACATTTTAACGTTCTTTTTTGCAGTTTTACTTCAGTTAGTGTTTGAATGCAATTTTTTACTGTGCATTATGATATTTTACACGACTTTTACTTGAGTATAAAAAACATTTCAGTAGGACAGGAAGCAAAAAGCAGCTTTTTAACATGTTTTCTCACAATTATTGACAAATGCATTAAACTGTTGCGACACCTGGAACAGGACAGTAAACCTGGAGCAGAGGCTTTGATTACAGCTTGTATTTTAGTGTTGTGCATGTACAGAAAATGCAAAACTAATTTGCCCTGAATGAATGACGTGGTGTAATTATATGTACCCCTGCATGCATTCAACATCTCCGCTCACTCCTACGTCCTGCCTTAATAAAAATCATTTCTTTACATCCAGACGTGTGATTTGTGTCTGAAGCTGACAGATGCGACTGCAGCCAGCGAGTCAGCTGCTCTGAGTAAACGTCTGTCTTTAATTTGTTCTGTTTGCTCTGGATCAGTGAACCAAAAAAAGAAAAAAAAAAACAGGACTGGGAGTTTTTTGAGCCGCTCCTCCGGGCTCGCTGCACCGCATTCACGCTAGTTTGTGTTTCATTGTGTGGATGCGTAGAATTCCTGCCGCGGCGCCGTGAAAGCGCCCCTGTACGACGATCCGACCGCTGATCCGAGCTCCACTCGGCTTCAGCGCCGGACTTGACTTCTCTCTGTTTTCATTTCCACTTTTCTTGTCACGCTCTGTTAAAAATGAATGCGGTCATTTTCAATACAGTCACATTTGTCATTGCCCAAAAGTGATCCGCGAGCAAACAGCACGCCAGTCAGGGTGACCTATTTGACTGGAAAATGTTCCCTTGACTGGAAAACCACACCTGACACGCCGCGTCACACCACGTTCAGAAGCGTGTAAGGTGTAAAGCAGGCCGGGAACATGTTTGTCAGCGTTAGAACTTTGGTCGTGTCCAATCGGTCGTCAGTGAAACCACCAAATGTAATTATTTCATTTATTTAGTGAGTGAGTCAAGTTTTGCTTTGTCACAGTTACGACAGAAATAAAGCTCACGATGGTGTCGGAGCACAATCTGACCTTCCAGATCCTCGCCGCCGTCACTCACATCCCCTCTGAGAAAACATCGGGCGCTGCACACTTTTAGGGGGAGAATATTTCAGTGAAGGAAATTGGATTTTGATTGTTCGCAGCACCGCGAGCAGGGATGCAGAGGGTGGCGACGGGGTTTCAGAGCAGCTGTGAAAAAGGAAATCATGTCTGGGGATGAAAGTCCAGCTCACTTTTACATCCAAGAGCTTCAGATACGGCTGAACGTTTTCTGCTTTTAGAAATCTTTGTTAAAAACTTTCATCACTATTCTGCAGCGCCGCCGTCAACGCTAACGACATGTTGTTGGGTTTTGCAGGTTTGCGCGGACGACGTGCTGACGAAGGAGGAGCAGATCGGCCTGCTGTTCAAAGCCAAACGGAAGTGCGAAGGAAACATCAAGTCAAAGCACAAGGTTCCTGGTGAGTCTGGAAAACACACCCGATAGCGAACATGCTGATGTTCAGCAGGTATGTGACTGATTCCCACTGCAGGAAACACGAGCAGATTGGTCCTCCAGAGGTCACAAAGGTCTGTAAACGGCTACGACGAGGTGTTTCATAATGGTTCAGATGTTTTATTATGACCAAAGAACCAAACCTGTTGTGCTGCTGAGAGATTTAAAGAACACATCCTGTGTTTCCCAGTGAGGGATCAATAAAGTTTATCTCATCATTTGGTGCCCTTCGGGTCAATATTCAACTGTGATGCCTGTATGAGAGTATTTCTGAGTTTAGCGGCGCCTCATAGGGAGGCTGGAGAGGTTTTATGTCACAGGTTTGGCGCTTACATCCCTTTGCATTTAGAAAACGGTTCGAGCTAAAACGCAGCCTTTGTCCTCACTGAGCGCACGTTACAGGACGAGCTTCGTGTTTTTTGGCTAACGAGGAGCGACGGTGACGACACCAGCAGAGGATATTTAGCTCCGTCTGTTTCCCACATTCAGGGGCTTTTTATAGGTCTGTGGAATCACCCGACGAGTTGAAATGTGTTTAAAGGGAGCGAGGAAATATCACAGATCCTTCAGTTTTGCGAGGAGACGCGTGACCTTGTGGCGTTCGGTTCGTTGTTCTAACCAGATTCTTCTTCTTTTCTTGACGACAAAGTAGAAGGACAGGAGGATTACAGTGTCGATGCGTGTCATGTAACCCACCCGCTGAAATGCGTGGACGAGATAACGGATGCGATCCATAATCCGGTCCCTGGCGGTTGCGGACGGCCGTATCGACCCGTTCAGCAGCAGGTCCGTGCTCGCAGATAACTGGAAATTATTGCCGGATGTGTGAAATCACATGATAGCATGATTGCAAGGTCCCGCTTAATTTGCCCTGATAAGGTTTCCACGTGTGTGATTTTTCCACCAGCTGCTGCAGGTTTTTTCTTTTCTTTAAAAAAAAAAAAAAACAAGATTTCTGTCAGAAGAAAGAAGATTGAGGCCTTTATCAGAGAGAAATAGCTGTTTGTCACCATCGCCTGAGCTACTGAGGAAGGTCCCCCGCTGGAGTCCAGCTGGATATAATAAAATAATTCCCCCGGAGTCGACACAGAGCAGAACCTCATGGGCGCTGATTTGGTATAAAAACGCCATCAGACGTAGGAGTGATGGAGGAAGGAATCAATCAACGGGAAAGTTTACCAGGAAGTGTGGCGCTAAGCTAAACAACCAGCAGCAGCAGGCCGGAGATCGAAGAGCGCGTCAGATTGTAAAGGCCGCCTTGTTATCTTGATTGAACGTGATTGGCGACTTGTTTGACTGTTGATTATAAGAGCTGCTGCTCATCAGCTGATGTGCTCACTTCAGCGCTCCACAAAAACCTCCTCACTTTGTTTAAGGAAAAAAAAAAAAGTCTATCCTGGGTTTTTTTCTCCCCGCGTTTTGCTGAAAGTGTTTAAATCCAATTCGAGAGGCGTCCTGTGAGTGGATGGTTGTGTCGGGTTGGCGCTGCTTCCTTCGAGGCCGAGATCGAAGCGGCTCTTCGGGTGTTTTTGTGCGTTCATCTGAAGGGCGCCGTCCTCCAGCAGACCCTCCACTGCAGGCCTCTGCTGCATCTCCGTGCGGTCGCTGTCCTTTTCCCAGCTGATTGTTCGGGGAGGTTTTGGGATTCCACAGGCAAACCGATCGTGTTATTATTCTTCAACCCCAGTGCATTGTGGTCGCGTCGACCCTCCAGCCGATACCCCCTCTTTTAAATGAAACACATAATTAAAAACGTTTACTTCCAGGCTCCGAACACAAAAGCTATTGTTGACTATTCCCTGTAATTACATCCCCTGTGTGGTGTTTCCCAACTTTTCATGGTTTTGATAAAAGTCCACAAATCACAAATTAGATTTATTAAAAAAAAGAGGAAGACAGAATTGCGACTACTGAGAACTGCAGGGTCAGAGTTTACTGAACATTTAATCGCTGTGCTGTGACTCCTTCAGCTCAGACCTCCATCGTGCTCCATCCGTCCTGATGTGTTGACCTCCAGCATTGTTGCACATCTTTTTTAAAAAATGACTTCAAGGAATAGTTTTGGGAAATTATTGAGGTCAGTGCTGAGTACTAAATGTCAACATAAAGTCAGTTAGCTTTGTTTTGCAGCTCCGGACCAGAACCAGCTGCTGTGGTTCAGCCTCACGGTCCATCAGCACCTTTAGAGACGACTCAGTCACAGGTTTGGTTTTGTACAAACATGTGAAAATAACACAGTGTGGATTTATGGGGGGTTGGAGGCTCGACTGTTTATTATACCGGCGTGAATTTCCTCAAGTTTCAAACTATTTTTACATTTTCTGATTGTACATGTGAGTTACACTTTGTAAAAGCTGAGATATTTTATATATTTATATTTATATCTTATCTTATCTTATCTTATCTTATCTTATCTTATCTTATATTTGTGTCGCTGTGGCACCAAATCAATTATAAAAAAAATAACCGTCTCGTTATTTTTCATAACTAAAATACATTTTCTAGCCGTACTTTGTCGATTTTTTTTTGTCTTTTGAATGTTTAATGAAGGATAATTACACGTGTAGAAATAACAGAATTACATATATTTATTTATTTATATATATATATAAAAATAAATAATACTATATGTGATGATTAAAAGTGTATTTGGACAGTTTTCCACTGCTTGTAAACACAATAATTCACGGTTTTCGTTGTCAAAATCTTTCATTTAACAAACACGTGAATCTAATTTTAGAAATATATTTACAGAATTAAAACTGAATTTACACATTTTAATTTATTTAATAAAAGTAAAATATTTGTGATATCATATAATGAGGAATTCCCAAATGTGTATATAAACAGTCTTGTTATCTAAAAAAAATAAAAATAAAAAATGTTTTCTTGAGAACATAGAAATGTAGGGATATTTACAGTCATGTTCACATGAGACATGCTTTTCATTTGTAATTTAATTGATGTTATGCATTTTGCAATGATTTAAATCTTAAAATCTGTTTAAAATTTTTTATTTTATTTTATTTTATTTTATTTTATTTTACAGTACAATTCTTGTCATTTATCCATGTGTTGTAGTGATGGAACAATTTGAATTAAAATTATTTACTCAAAGTTCAAAGTGTTTTATCTGGAAGTAAAAGCCAATTTTTACATTTACAGCATCTCAAAAATAAGTAAGTGCAAATATTTACAGTCCTGGATGTTTAAAACATGGAATTAAATTAAATAAACTGGGTTATGACAGCTGTCGTCTTCAACTCATCATAAATGTTTTTACAGAGCAAAGAATTAGTCAGTCGATCAATCAACATATATAGATTATTATAAATGATCACTAGCTGCAGCCCCTTTGCGGTGCATCGTGTTCTCGTTATCAGGACTCCAACAAACCCGTCTGAGGCGCTGGAGGTGTTGTTTTGGGGGTTCACATGTGAGCCGACCTGCAGACCTGACGGTGCTGCCTCCGACCGATGTGGCTCACGCTGCCCGTGGCGGTTCTTTCTGACCTCTTTTGGAAGGTTGCACACGTCTGTTCAGTCACACTTGGCAGAATTAGAATATTACTTTAATAAAGAGGAGAAATGAGTCCCCGGTGTGATCGCGCCACATGCCTGGATAAGCACATATGTCCCCGTTTAACACGCTTGATTTGAGATTTTATTTTTACTCATTTAACGGCACACGAGTCGCTTCGACTTCTCTCCGTTCGAACTTGTGTTGAACTCGAGCGTATGGCTGTTTGTGATTCTGCAGCATGGAAATCATTTAGGATCTGGGTCGTGGTTAGCTGTGATGTAGAGCAAAATTATGGGGACTGTCAAGATTTTGAGATTAAGTTCAAGGAAAGCATTACTGGTGCTCTCTGATGGCCCGTGAGAGGATTTTCCTTGAAATGGTCATTGAGATTTGGATGGTATTCACTCAGAATTCACTGGTTCTGAAAACATATTCCTTGTTTCGGTGTGTCGAGGCCTCGGAGCTGCGGCTTGAGGTGAACAGATAATAGCAGCATTTTTTAGGACTTTGGCGTTACATCTGTGTTTTTCCTGCCTGACCACCCCGAGGAGTTTTTTTTTATTTTTTTATCTGGCACTGTAACTGTAAACTTGTGGTTTTCTGAACTATTACAGGAGGACGAGGAGCGGCGACTACTTCAAAACGCTTCACGGTGTGAAATGAGGGATCTGTTGAGAGCGAGGATTGGGTTAATTGAGGGAAGGATTAGGCTGCGCTCTATCTGCACGCCTCCAGTTCGCATTTGTTCTTAAAATACACGGAGGTCACAACGGCATGGGCTGAGACAAGGTTTTCTTTGAGGGGAAACACTGAGGTTTGCCTGGAGAGGACAGTGGAGGGATGTGGGTTCAAATCCCCAGACCTTGCAGTGTGAAAATAGCTCAGCTTTCAAGCCTGCGGTCGGGGTGTAGAATAACATCAGCCGTCATTATAAAAGGTTGCATGTATCAGGAGAAAACGTGTGTTTTGACATCTGCAGGTCGGAATCAAATGAGTCGGGGGGGCAAAGAAAACCTTCCCAAAACCCCACTGACATCACTAATACCAACGTCCTCCCCCCCCTCCCCTCCTCACAGTCACGTTTATATTTAAATCGTGGTCAAGAAATTTACGGGAAATTATATATGTGTGTGTGTGTTTGGTGTTTAATTTGGGCCTGTTAGTAGGTGGTCCTATGGTAATAAAAAACCTATGGCAAAAGTGAGCAGCAATTCTACTTTTACTCCCAGGATGTGTGGTCAGTGCGATTTTCAAAACTAAACTTCTGCTTCTCTCCCAGCAGACATCTGCAGGAATCAGGCAGCTCCACGCAGTCTGCTCTCTAATTTTGCGCTCCGAGTGACAGGCAAATAAAAAGCAAGTCGTCATTGCGTCACATGTTTCTTTGTACGTTTGATTACAGGAATGAGAAAATAATGGATCTGCTGCAAAGAGGGGATAGTTTTAGTTTTATCCTTAGCTGCTTATTAGTGGTCAAAGTGGGGCAGATGTTTTCAATAATACAACACAAATGCCAAGCCATGAGGGAGGCTGGCTGCCAGGAATCTGTGGGGAAAGGGACTCTGCTCCCACTATCAGAGGCCTGAGGTCCCCGCTTCAGCTGACAATTAAGGAGCTGTGTTGCTGTGAAGCAGGATGTTGTTCTGCTGCCTTTGAACCTGCGGCTCTTTGTCTCTGCTGAGTCTTCTGGGGGGCATTAACATAGAAAAAACACTGAGAAAGTTTATTTTTATGGTGATTCCAGGACAACTTTTTACATGTTCCTCATATGCATTTCAAAACTCTGCGTTCAGTCGGTCCTAAAGTTAAAATGTTGTAGTTCGGCTGGTGAGGTTTGTTCATAAGTGCAAATCTGGCAGTGATTTAAAAGTCGTTTTATTATTATTATTATTATTATGAATATTTGAAGGCATTTTTTACTGCTCGCTGACCAAACAATTAAAATAACAACCCAACATGAAATCAAATATGAATTAAATTGAATCTGAGGCGCATTAAAACATCTTGACTCAAACGTAAACAGCATTTTTATTCATACGTAGCAGGCAGCTGAACTCTTAATTAGATCCACGCAACAAAAACAAAACAGCGACTCCATACAGCATGTAAAGCGGTACGATGTCATTAACAGTTATGGAAATCTGCAGCGGCTAACGAAGCAGCCTTAATGAACCGACTGGATTCAATGGACGGCTTGTTGTCAGCATGTTGGGAATTCCATTTAGTCTTAATTACGTTACAATACACGGGACGTGTTTTCCTTCCGTGACCCATATTTTCCTTGAGCAGCACCAGAACAAGGTGTAATTTACAGGCTGACCGCAGATTGCCAGGTTGCTCTGCCGTGCTAATTTACATAAACATGAAGCTCATGCGTCTGACCTGCTTTTTAAAGGATCCTTGAGAACAAGCTGGAGTTTTTTAAAAACGTTTACAATGCTTTTGTGTCTGCAGATGGGTACTGCTCTCCAGAATGGGACGGCATCGTCTGCTGGCCTGAAGGGCCTCCTGGGAAGCTCGTGTCCACGGACTGCCCGGAGTACATCTACGACTTCAACCATAAAGGTGAGATCGGCCTCGAGCGCCGCTGCTAGCTGCACATCACAACCCCAGCTCCCTCTTTGGTGGCTGTAATCATGCAGGTTCAAGCCCTTCATTAAAACAGAGGTTTGTGCTTGATGTCTAGGCCTCGCATACCGCCGGTGTGACAACAATGGAACGTGGGAGCTGGCCACAGTCAACAAGACGTGGGCCAATTATAACGAATGTGCAAAATTCCTCTACCATTACAACCCCAGCCAAGAGAAGGTGAGCTCCGTCTCATTTCCATTCACACGCTCGCACGCAGCAGATTCATTAAGGTCTGAGTGAACGCCGAGGTAAACTGTCACACTCAGGGTTTTAAATCTGGGTAATTTGCATGGCAGATAAATTAAAGTCGTGTTCGGTGTAACGCAGAGACGACGGCGGGGAACCGTGACAGCACAGCAAGGTGCTGACTGTGTGATAGTACAGCGGAGGTTCGTTTAATTTACATCCAAACACAAATTGAAAACTGTCTCAAATCGGTCTTAATTGCAAATCCTGTCACATACGACAAAGAACTCGACCAAAGCTGACAGCAGTAAGACCTTAACACCCCAGGAGTCCAGTGTTCTCCTTTCTGCAGCGACCATGAGCTTCATCATGCCGTTCTAACAGCCTACTGAGGAGACGTTCTGCTGAAGTTTGAAAACTGACGACACGATGGAGTCACTAGAGCACCACTGTGGTACAGACGAGGCGTTCAGTGAGGTTGAGATGCACAGCTACGTCTTTACAGACCTCACTTAGCAGAACGAAGAAGAACGTTCTTCCCTCAGACTGAAGCCTGAAAGTCAGACATGCACGACTGTCATTGTATTGTCATCCCACGTTTTCCTTCACTGGAACCAAACCATGACAAATATCTGCAGAATGGCTTCACGGACACACTGTTGGTCATGCTGGGTGTGTTTTCTTTAATGTCTCTGCTACATTCCTGATGCTGCTTTTAATTTTGCTCCATTTTTGTCATTTTCTGGCGTTGCGGTTGAAGAAGACGGTGATTACAGCAGCAGAGCTAATGTGGGGATAATCGTCGTTTCACGCTCGTCAAGGCGGTCGCTGTTGTTTCCCGTCGTAGAGAGCTGCACAACTTTCTGAAGCAGGAAGTTCTCCACACACCACCTTAGAGCAGAATACAACTGAATCACTGGGGGTTGAACCGTTTTCCCAGATTTTATACTCACATGTTCATCACTGGGGCTGCAGGTGGTTCAGTGGGTAGCACCGTCGCCTCACAGCTCGGAGGTCACCGGTTGAGGACACCCAGGATCTTTCTGCGTGGAGTCTCCATGTTCTCCCCGTGCAGCGTGGGTTCTCTCCGGGTTCTCCGGCTTCCTCCCACAGTCCAGAAACATGCTGAGGTTAATTGGTGATTGTAAATTGTCCGTAGGTGTGAATGTGAGTGTGCTTGGTTGTCTGTCTCTAAGTGTAGCCCTGTGATAGACTGGTTACCTGTCCAGGTGAACCTGCCTTCACCCTGAGTCAGCTGGGATAGACTCCAGCCCCCCATGACTCTAGTGAGGATGAAGGTGTAGAGATGATGAATGGATGGAATGTGCATCTTTCGTGGTTTAGAATCTTATCATATCTAAATATTAATGTTTCCTAAAAGCTGAGGGATCATCAGCAGTAAGAACATCTTTCCACTGAGGTGCATGCTGAGAATTTTGTCCTGCATCCCGTTGTTACAGACGGAGGTCGTGTCTCGATGACCCCGATCGCTGCAGCTCCTCGTTTCTCTCCTCATCGTTATAAGAAGATCTGTAACAACATGTTTGAAATATTACCCTGAAAGCAGAGTCATTCGTCAGACGGCTGCCAAAGCTGTCGTAGTTTGATCCTCGTCCGTTTTCGCTGCAACAATACAACACAGCTGTCCTCTTTAAGTGTTCTCTCCGAGGAAGCAGCTGCAGCGCTTAATGACAAATACATATGCACGAATTAAAGCGCACGCAGCAGAACTGCCACGCCGCAGACCAGCGCCACAACTGAGACATACGTTCGCTGGCACGAGCTCACGACGCTAAATGATAACAGCAGCTCAGTATCTGGTTCCATCACAGGGGGCTCGCGGCCTCTTTAGCACGTTGACGCACACAGGGTTTGGCTGGCGGCTCCTCCGGCGGCGTCCTCTGCCAGCCGGCCGCTGGAACGTCGCACCACCCCACCCAGCCCTTCTCAGCTCCGTCACCCGTCTTAAACGCTGCTGCCGTCAGTAACGTCTGAGCGCTCGAGACAGTTCTGTCACCAGATGGCAAAGAATTCTCAAATGCTTTGAAGTTAATGCAAGCTGAAGTTTTTGGGTAGAAGTTCCAACACGGAGGAAAATGTTTGAGAGTTTTTCTTGTTTGTCTGCATACAGTGTTTAACAAATGACCTCCACCCAATGTCAGGTTTATGCCCTAAATGAACAGCGTTGGTAATCACCACAATCATCTCTTATGTCTCTGTGATGGTTCATACACCAGCATGTAGATCTTTAACCACAATGATGTTTTTAATGATAAAATATAATTGTTGTTGTTGTCCAGGAATTGACAAATTTACTGTTTAACTAAAAAAAAAAATCAGTAAAGCTCATTATTATTATTTCTTGATTCAGATGTCAGATTATAGTTATTTGCCTGCATTCCTGAACAGAAACATTAGTTTTAGTGGCTGAATGTGATGCTTGATCAGTTTTCTGAGGTTTGGGTATAAAAAGGTGGATTGAAATTACTCATTCGTGTTCAGAACGGTGAAACGTGGAGCTGAGTGGAGTTAAAGCACCTCATCATGCTGGATGGTATATACATATATATGTGCAGTGCTTAAAAAGTTGGACAGGTGGTCTATAAATTGAGAACTTTAGCAATTTGTTTTACTCTTAGAATAAGAAAAACAATCTGCTGTGCTTTAATGTGAACCATGTGAACCACCACAGTGTAGCTTGTTAATCGTAATTCTAGCTCAATATCAGCTGTAATATCGAGAAAAAGTTCGATTTATTTTCTTAAAATTAGACTAATTTTCTTTAGCCAAACTTGCTTGTCAAGATTATTTTACTTTTTAGACAAAAAATAAGAACAATTTCCCAGAAACAAGACTGTTTTACTTTCTTAAAAATCTTTTTTTTATTTTTTTTTGCAGTGTATGTTTACACTGCTGCCCATAAAGCTGGAATAAAATATGTTTTTTTACCTCTTCTCATGAAATGATTGTGACACTGTGATTTATTCTTGGTAGATAAATTATGTATCTCCTCAAAACTTTATTGATATCACAGTGCAATACATATCACAGTAAAAATTAAGCCACAATCAACTTTTGCAAACTGTGCATTCAGGCTTAAACTAAACTGGTGGTACTGAACAATAGGATGAAGGGCTTTGTTTCAATTTTCAACCTTAATCGAGGGGATTTCATGCATCAGAATGTCCAATATTACTATTTAAATGTCACTAGTATTGAGTCTGGCCACCCCTGACATGGATCAATGACATGGTGGCGTCCTGTCCACCAGCTGGTTGATGGAGTCAACGGGCAGGACGTCCCACTCTTCAGTCAGAACCTGGAGTCAGAACTGGTTCCACCTGGTAACTGAGACTCAGTATGTGATCATTGGACCTGGTCAAAGTGATTACTGATGTCTAGAAATAGAAATAAAAAAGAGGAATGTGTGTGAAAACTAAAATGAATCCAACCTTGTGGGCGACAGTGTACATGACTATATATACGACTGTTGTCCTTTCAGTTGTCTTGTTTTCATCCACTTTGGCGTCTTGCTGACAACAATCTAACCCGTGATCCTTCTCCAACAGGAGGTCTTCCACCGCCTCTATCTCATCTACACAGTGGGCTACTCCATCTCGTTGGGCTCGCTCATGGTGGCTGTCGTCATCCTGGGATATTTCCGGTGAGTCGATGCCGCCACCGGGACTTTACGATCAATCCTTTCCGCCGCAAAATGCTCCCGAGAGAGGTTTTGATACGGGGTCAGAAATTAAGGTTAGAGCGATGGCTGATGGGAGTCTAAATGTTTAATGGCGTGACGGCGGTTGTTTTGTAACGCCATTTCATCAAACGTACAGGGAGGCGGGCAGCGGATTCATTTCATAATGACCTAATGGATAAAAGAGGCTTTTTTAAAAATGAAATTGTGCAATTTCCTCCCGCTGGATGAGCACGCGATGCTAAACAGACGTTACCTTTGACTTTTAACCGACTACAACGTGCCCACCTCTGAGTGTGCCTCCAGGCTGCAGGAGTGCACGCTGACATTTAGCTTCCTGCTTGTTTTCATGCTGATTTCAGGTTTCAATGACAAACAACTGCATGGATTTTGGATTCCACCAAGCTTACAAAGATTAGGCTTCCTGATCCACATTGAGTAAGACTTTCAGAAAATATGTTAAGAATGTAGAATAGTGTATTTATGCCTTTCCCACTGTAGCAGATAACAGGATTTGCTGCTAATGCTGCCCTTATCTTGCCTCTTTAAGCTCTCAAATGAAGAAAAACCCTCTAAAACAAGGTGGGATTCGGCTTTCACACGAGGAAACTGTCGTCATTTTGAGCAATATTTGTCATTATTTGCTTATTTTGTATCAGGAATCGATGCGAAGGCGCCGTTTTACCCACCAGCGGCGTGACTTACTGTACAGGCGACCAGTCAGAAGGCTTTAGGAACTGGCACCAGGAATCCACGGGCCAAACGAGTTTAATAAGTTATCCCAGGGGCCCGTCCGACATTCTGGCTCGTGTCCTCGAGTGCTCGAGCCACGTCTCCCCTTCAACACATCAGCTTCTAGTCGGTGGAGCTCGTAAATGTTTTCCAGCGAGAGAAAAGGGGATATTTTACATTAGCAGTCGTGCTCGAGATGTTTCACCTGGGAAATCGATTATTGTTATTATTATTTTAAATCGATAGTTCTCTGAGTGAAAAAATCAGCTCAACAAACAGTCGATGGAGATGACTGTGGACGCGGTGGTCACTCAGTCTCCACAAACCGTTCTAGATTTGGAATTTTTGGCACCGATGAATATTCAGTAAATATTATCGCCGACTTCTTTTTCCTTCACTGTAGTAACCTTTACGGCTATTGATCCAGCAAATTGATTCCACCGGAGCGTCACGCCAAAAAGCCCACTCCAAAGTAAATGTTTAGGATGTTCTTGGACGAAAAAAAAAAAAAAGTGTTTTTGACAGATAAACGCGCGCTTGTCTGGGAGTTAATTTGCGTGCTTCTGCAGCGTCTCGACACATGCTTGCAATTTGGTTTTTACTGCTCACTTTGAGCGTAGCAATTCAATATTTGTGTGTTTCAAGCCCCCTAAATCTCAAGAATGTGTTATAGTCAGCTTGGAATTCAGCTGGCTCTAATTAGGATGAGTATTGTGCTCGTGTGTGTGTGAGCGCTCACGGGAAGGTGTGCCAAGCCACATGAAAACACACAGTTTTCTATCTCTTGACCTTGCCGCTCTTGTTTGTTTCCCTCCTCCCAGACGGCTTCACTGCACCAGGAACTACATCCACATGCACCTCTTCGTGTCCTACATGCTCAGAGCTGTCAGTATTTTTGTGAAGGACGTCGTTCTCTACTCCGGATCGGCGTTAGAGAACATGGAAAGAGTCACGGTGGAAGACCTGAAATCCATCACCGAAGCGCCGCCGTCCAACAAAACGCAGTTTGTAAGTAAAAACACGCCGAGACAAGAAGTCCACGTAACGAGCAGTAAATGCAACGAGAAGGAAAAATATCCGTTTATGTGTTGTTGTAAGGAACAAACCACGTCTGTAAACATGCACAAGACAGCCTCTAATCAGAAACCATCAGCGTTTGATCGCTGTAAAGATAATCTGATTTGTCGCGTGGCGTTGAGCGCGTTGCTTCCAGAGAGGAAGCGGTGCATGTATTTTGCAAAGTCTCACCTGCTTTTCCACTGCTGGAGCAAATAAACTGTACTGCTTGTCACCGTGCCAAAGTTTTACTAGGCCAGTACTTGGCTTTTCCTTTCAGAGTCAAGTTTAAAAAAAAAAAAAAAAACGGAGTAAAGACTGTGTACTTTTCACGGATGCTTTAATACGCAAACAGTTTGGGCAAATTATTCAGCCTCTCCACGCTGCATTAGAACTGCTTTGTTACTGACGGTGACTCCATGAAAGAACTCACGTGTTTGTGGAATAATGAATTCTAATGTATGGAGAAAAGGAAACATGTCGTAGCTAATTAAAACGGAAACTGGGCTTTTTCAACACTTTTGTCGTTTATCTTAGATGTTAAAAAAATCCATGAAAATCTGGATGAAATGCCCCAATGTGGCCAAGCTCATAGATTATAGTGTAGCTGGACTGTTTACATTTCATTTACTGACTAATTTGACCAACCTAAT